GTCAGTGCAACTTATGCAACTTAAGAATACTGACGCCATTGCATGACACGTTTGTGCATGCGTGAAAGAATGGCTGACGCTCATAGGGGTAAGACTAAGACTCAACGGGCAGAATGGTTACGACAAAATGAGGCCCACTGCGTCGACCACGTTCATGCTGCTGGCATCTGTCATTTTTAGTAGCGCGAAAGCAGTTGGAGGACAACACTTTCCCAAACCATTTCCAATGCTGCCGATGCGAACTGTGACATCGGCTTAGCATCTCTTCAGCCTTCACACAGAAAGTGCAGAAGCCAAACCTTCTGAAGAATTGCTCCGACCTTCGCCCAAAATACGATCCCATTCCTACCCCATTGCTCGCAGGTGGCTGTCAAATCTGTCAACGACGCATTCACGCCACATGGCGCTAAGCAAGCCGACCTTGTCGGCATCATCGAGCCGGTCTTCTCTAACAAAGTCAAACCTGCTGAAGCGGTTTGATGTTGACCAGAAGACATGCATTGCTCATGAACGAGCAGCAATGAGAATGAGCAGCAATGAGCGTTGTTTTTGGCGCTTGTAAGGCTGTGACGGAGATGATGCGGGCTCAGGTGGTGGAGGTGGCTTGGCCTGCGCCAACTTGCGTTCACGCGGAGTGCGGCCATCCATCTCGAACGCAGCTCTCAAGAGAAAGAGAGAAAAAGAGAGAGAAATAGAGATAGAGTTAGAGATAGAGAGAGGGAGAGGGCGAGAGAGGGAGAGGGGGAGAGGGGGAGAGGAGGAGAGGGGGAGAGGGGGGAGAGGAGGAGAGAGGGAGAGGGGGAGAGGGGAGAGGGGGGAGAGGGGGAGAGGAGGGGGAGAGGAGGGGGAGAGGAGGGGGAGAGGGTGGGGAGGAGAGGGGGAGTAGAGGAGAGAGGGAGAGGGGGAGAGGGGAGGAGGGGGAGAGGGGGAGGAGAGGGGGAGGAGAGGGGGAGGAAGGGGGAGGAGAGGGGAGAGGAGGGGGAGAGGGGAGGGGGAGAGGGGGGAGAGGGGGAGGGGAGAGGGGGAGAGGGGGAGGGGGGGAGGGGGGAGAGGGGGGGGGAGAGGGGGGGGAGAGGGGGGGGAGAGGGGGGGGAGAGGGGGGGGGAGAGGGGGGGGGGAGAGAGGGGGGGGAGAGGGGGAGGGAGAGAGGGGAGGGAGAGGGGGAGGGAGAGGGAGGGGGAGAGGGAGGGGGAGAGGGGGGGGAGAGGGGGAGAGGGGGAGAGGGGAGAGGGGAGAGGGGGAGAGGGGGAGAGGGGGAGAGGGGGAGAGGGGGAGAGGGGGCGAGGGGGAGAGGGGGAGAGGGGGAGAGGGAGAGAGGGAGAGAGGGAGAGATGGAGAGGGAGAGGGGGAGGCACAGGGACAGGGATAGAGAAAGAGCAAGCATGTTTTTCCAATCCCCAGCCGAAAATTGAGCAATTAGATGGAGTGCTGCAGGGATCAGCAAGGATTGGGCACTCCACAGGTGTTCTGCCAGACTCTCCAGGATTGCACCCCAGGTATCGAACGAAGTACTGCCTGGGCCTACAGGATTCTACGGGTGCGTTCTCCAAGGGCTCTCCGGCAAATAAAAACTCCACAAGACTCTTTACAGCATTCCACAATCCGGAAAATCCGGAAACTCCGGAAATACTTTGCGGAAATTTGTGCGCTTCTCTACAGCGGGCACCCGGCAGGATTGTCTGCGGGCCCGGGGTCAGGAGACCCAGGCGAGGAGAAAGGCTGAAAAAGCGACAACCACCCGAATGTACGCAACGTGTATCAACGTGTTCTACCTTGCTCCATGCTGCTCTCACCGCTCCGCTGCGCCTCTGCTGGTCGCGCAGCCGCTGCCTCCAGCGCCTGCGGAGCTGCCTGCGGTGCCGCCTGTGGAGCCGCCTGCGGAGCCGCCTCTACAGGCAAGGCCTGATCTGGCTTGCGCTCGAGGTAAGCTGGCCTTGTCAGCAGGAACGTGTACAACAACGCAAGAAACTGGGAGGAGCGGCTATTCTCACAATAAATAAATCATTGCGAGAAAACAAAGCATTGCAAGAACTGATCACTCATCAGACACATACTGGAAGCAAATGTCACTCCATGCCCACGCTGGGGAATCGACTCATCTGCCGGAACAGGGGCAACGGGGCGGGTCTCCTGCGTGGCGTTTGTTTTACAGTGGTCAGCTATAGCTCCAAAAGCCATCACTGCAGAAACCATAGGAACAAGCCAGTCGTGCTTAATGACGAAGGTTAACAGCAAACAAGTTTGCCAATTTCGCCTGAAAATGGTATTTGCAGCCTTCCATTGTCACACTTCTCTGAGCGGGTGCTAAGTCTTTGCCTCCTGTGGACGGGATGCATGACCTGGAAGAAGCGCCTGTCAGCTGGACGCAGCAATGGAGAAGAGTAGCTATAGCCCTATAGCAGCTTTTCACAATGTGCCCACCTTTCGTGTCTTCCGGCGTGTGCCTTCTGGGATGTCCAAGGCACCTGCCGCGAAGCACCACACATCATGGCCAGCTTCGTTTCGACAAGGGCCTTGCAACGTTGTACGTTGGAGGTGCTTTGCAAAGTGTGTTTCAGCCCTGAACCCGATTCCTTTCCCACTTCAGTATCGCATCAGCCACCCGCATACAACCTGAATCCCCCTATCCTGTTGCAAAGATCTGCTGACCATCGCTCTTAGACTCTTGGCCACGAAGACCAACCGCAAACAGAGGGAAATCTGCCGTACCTGCCACCTCATGCGACGCAGGAGTCTCCTCTGCAGCGTTCGAAACAGTCTTTTGCTGTCGTTGGCTGATGAAACGTCATTCCGAAACATTTCCGAACCATTCCTTGCAAAGCCATGGCAGGGCCTGCGAGCCGCCGATGAAGGCGAAAGCAGAGCTGTCCACCCTCGAGTCCAGGAGAATGTCCAGGCGACTTTTATGTTTTGCATTATGTGTTGCGGAAGCATTTCAGAAAGCAGCTAAGCCCGGCTAAGCCATGTGCGTTGTCGGACTGATTTCGCCAGCACCTCCACATCATATCTTCAACGATACTATCTTAGCAAAGATACTGGGTAGTGTTGCATACAACTTACCAAAGCACCAAAGCTGCTACTTCCTGCTCAGAGGTGCAGAGAGCCTGCTGGATAGGCTGAGACTGCTGCTGGGGCCTAGCTCTGCGTGCACAGTGCCGCGAGCACAGCGAGGCAGAGCAGTGCAGGAAGAGATGAGGGAAAAGGATTCGCAGCCTACCAAGCCTTGCTAAGACTTGCTAAGCCTTGCGCAGGCACGGCATCCGCACTTTTGACGAACGTGAACACTGACTCCTTTTCAGTGAAGACAGTCGCATCTGAAGCCTTATCCTGAGAAAGGGCAGCTACATCCTAATCTTCTAGACGCTGCCAAGCTCAGCCGAGGACGGGTGTCTGTGACCCCGGCACCTCTCAAGATATCCCCCTTCAGATCATTTCAGAATCTGTTCCCGTCTCTCCAGCGACGTGCATTTTCATCTGACTTGTTCACATGCATTTTTCAGGCCCACCTCAGCACTGGAATTCAGGAAGCTGAAGGCCGATGTACCTTCCATGGTTTCCAGGGGGTAGGGCTGAGAGCATCTTCACTATGGAAACGAAAGTATGAAATAGTATGGAGAATATTGTAAGAAAGTCCGAGGTAAGAAAAAAAACTCTGACACTTTTCTCCTACTACTATTCTCACTACACTCACACGATACTAACACATACCTTCAACATAGTCAAATATGTGCCTTCTAGTCCTAGGCCTATGGGTAGATGCGGAACACTGACCGCCATGGCTCACCCGTCTCGCCAGCCACGCTCAGGCTTCCAAACAGCCCTGAACCTCTGTTTTGGATGCAAGGCATCGCCGAGGCTTTTTACGGCAGGATCACCATGGACCCTCACACCAGCGCCAAGCTCACGACCGGCGCTGTCCACTTCTTTTTGAGACGGTTCCTAGGTGAATGATGGCGAGCGAACGCAGGCGACCGCGGACTGGATGCCCTTTCTTGAAGGTGTGCAGCGACTGCATTCCAAGCTCGAAAACTGTCGAAAACTTATGCAATCTTTTGAATCTTTTGAGGAGCCTCAGGAGCCAGGAGGGGCTGATAATGGCTGAAATACAGTACTAGCAGAGGCGGGCTGTCGCGGAAGCATCTTTTCCAAGACCAGCCTGTGGATCCATGAACCGATACCAATGTACGCCAAAGCTTCCGCTGCTTGGGTCTGAAGACCTTCGAAAAGTGACCTCGCCCGGCTTTGCGGAATCCGATGGCGCATCAATAGCCGAACAATGGAGTCACAGACACAAGCAGTCCAAGGCAGCCACGCCATGTCATGTGAGCGTCTGAAAGAATGCTACAAAAGCCAAGTAAACATGCTCTGGTTGTTGCATGACGTTGCATGTTGCTGGAAGTCTTGCGCGTATTGCTGGCTTCCTGCTGCAAGACTAGTCGTGTAAATCCCACACCATGATGTCATCAGAGTTTGTGAAGCTCAGCGGCAGCGCAACCACAACAATGGGGTCGAGCAGATTCTTCCTTTTAATGGTGCCTCAGCCCAGCAGCATGCTTCAAAACATATTCCTCTCAGTGCCGCATGCGTTGCTTACTCGGGTTCCTGTACGGGCTATTGACACTGCACAGCGTCAGGTGAAACATGAAAGAGCACCAGTACAGCTGCGGCCTTTGCAATCTGGATAATCTGGGTCAGAGCCGTATGACTCGTATGACTTCTGCGACTTCTGACACCACCTTCGTTCAAGCCAAACAACTGCACAATCTGCAGCAGCTGTGGTGGAGATGCCTTTTGGGGAAAAGCGGCAAGGTGTCCTTAACGTGTTCGACCGCGAGCGCCGGAGCATCGTACTTCATAATGCTCTGCCGTGGAGACTTAGACATTCGAAGACAACTAGACTAGAGCCAGGGTGCTTGTGCTACGAAGCACCGGCCATAGAGGAATCTTGCGGCTGCAGCATGGAACAACATGCCGTGTGATTTGAACTGTTTCCGCTCAGCTCAGCTGGCCCTGTCGAGGAGCGTCTTGCCTGCAGCCCACACGTGCATCTGCAAGTTGGCAAGCAACTAACTTTTAGCAAAGCTAAATTCAACACACCAAGAGCACGGCTTGAGCGCACTCCCTCACGAGACTTGATCCTCCGAAAGCTAACAAGTACTGAAAGTACTGCACCACTCCCACTCTTGTGATCGCTGGTGTACTGGGCGGACCCCCCTCGCAGCGACACGGGCGAGGATGTTGGCGTGGATGCCTGGCACAGCTGCTCTGGCCGATGGGGAAAGATGATGCAGTGGCCTCAACACGCTAAGTTGGGTGCTTGCTCGGAAGGCGGGCTAGGTGACACAGCTTGTGGCGTCCCCTCATCAAGGGCGTGCATGGCAAAAGAGCACAAGAGCACACGCTGCAAAACCAGAAATATGTGATATGCGGATTGCATCAGAACAACCCATGCATAAGACCCAAGCCAGTGGTTCGGCAGTACCTTGGCCAACAGCTACAGTACCAATACACTTTATCCGCAGACCCCGCACAAGGCAGCGCCCAGTTGAAACTCGACCGTGTTTTTGTGTGTGTTTCCCCTATCCCTCCCACCAACCCTCCATCACTCCAGTTCCTCATTGGAAGGCAGGACAGGCAGCCGCAGGCTTTCTCCGAACCATAGGCGGTCGCTGTAAGGCCACGAGGGCAAGGCAAGTTTGGCTGTGTCCCATATACGGGCGAAAGGGCGAGCATAAGTCACAACATGGCCAAAGGTTGGCTCTTCACGTAAGGCATGGGCCGAGCACGCAAAATTGTGCGAATCAATGCGAACCCCACGAGGGCGCAAAGGCGGAGAATTAAAGCGCGTGCGGATGTTCTGGGGGCGCGCTCACGAAGCCAGGGCTCGGTAAAGACCGTGGCAAGGCGTCATCTTCGCAGCTCTTAGGCTGGCAGTGCTGCTTCCAATGGGCTTCCAAGATGCCTGGCAACTGCCTGAAAAACGGGGGGTTTGGCCACCGTGCAATGCCCCAAAGGCTGAAGACTGAAGACGTCGAAATTTCTGAGGCTCTGCTGGCTGCATGGCTGCACTCAGATTGGCAATTGCAGAGGAAGTTTATGGCATCACTTGGCTGGCAGACAATTGCACCACGACGTGTCATTCATGTACGTCTAAAAAAGAAGTCTTGCCCTTACAGCAGCCAAGCGGACATGTTGGATTCGACATGCGAAGCTCAGCAATTGGGAGTATGGGCCAACAGACCACAAGCAACAATGGTTTTGCTCTGGTTCAGGCATGCGAGTCTGCGAATCTTGTTGTGGCCAAGACTATGTGTGGTTGGTGTCTACCTCTTCAACTCCCGATGGACAACAGACTCACTGCATTGATTTATTTGTCACAACAAGAGTGTACTCGGTCGACATTGGCAGCTGTCGCGCTTTCGAGATCAGGTGACTGTGCAGCTACAGCTCCAATGCTCCAAGCCCAGCAAGGGACGCTGGAACAAGCATGGTCTTGAGGTGGCGAAGAAGTTTCTGCTGGACATTCAAGTCAAATCACATCTGATTCTGAACCAATGGCGCCCCAAACCCTTGAGCTGAAGCACTTGCTGCCTACTTTGCGACGACTGGACTCAGCGCGCGATGCAGACACACAAGGTACGAAAATTGCGTATGAAAATCAGATTTGTGGGAAGCGTGTGCAAAACCATGCACGTGCAGGCGCATTGGTGGATTTCACATCACGAAGACAGAAGCAGCTGCAAAGGCTCAAGCGGCAACCCCAGCTGCAGAGAACCAAACGCAGCCCTAGCCTTCACCACTCTCGTCACACACTTGACTTATTTGGTCATCATGCCCGAGCTCGAGTTGATCACTGCCAGTCCAAGCAGTCCAACACAGAAACCACCGAAATGCACTCGCCCTAACCCAAGCCCTTGTGCAATTGCAGAACCTGTCTTGGCAGATCTTGGCCGCAACACAGGGTTTGCCAGGGAGTCACGAGCCACGATCGGAGTTTGCGCCCCGACTTGGCTTTTCGACAAGAAGAGCGATTCAGGCACGATGCTCATGCAATCTCATGCAGCAGACGGAGGGCTGGAGGGACAAAATTGCCAGTGGGAAGCCCCACAATGTCCGCGACTGTGCTTTCCACATTGCAGGATTTCAATAATTTGCAATAGAAGGCAGGCCATGAAGTTGGCACCATGTTCACGGACTGGCGCAAAGATTGGGCGTGTGCAGCCAAATTCTGTTACGCGGGCATCTGCCGAAGCAGTGGCTTTTTGGGGGACATGCCCTCCGAATTCAAAGCCCCCTCCATCGTTGAGGGCTGCAGGAGCAGGGCTGAGATTCCTTTTTCATTGCTTTGGTTGTTTGTGTCTCGCGTCGGCCCAGCGCGTGGCCTGGTATAGAGACGGCTCGCGGACCTCCCGCTCACTTGGTTGCATTGCGTTGCGCAGCTTGGCCTCCCCACTCCTGAGAGAAGCAAAAGCGAGCCCTCCAGCCTGCACCCATACCTAAGTCCTTGTCTGCTTTAAGCGTAGCCGGGTGTGGGCGACAGCCCCGTCACATAATCTGTCTGCAAGTGTGAGCCTTAGAAGCAAACCAAGTCCCGAACTGTTTTCACTGCCTGCACGGCAACAATCCACTGCATTTGCCGTTCGTGCTGCTGAGTGTTCTGGGCATATGGCGAGTCGATGCGACACCACCTCGCAATGGTTGTTTGATGGCACGGCGGACCTGCCAGGTGCTGTGAGAAGCGCAACGTTATGCACAATATCTGCACCGGAAATTCATGTAGCTCTGTAGCTCCAGAACTTGATGATCTTGGCAGACCACAAACTGAACTGTTTGCGAAGGTTTCATCTGGCTGAGACGAACGTGTGCAACCGCGCTTGAGGAATGCAGGCTACGGCCGTTGCGACCGTGCTATGTCAGGCCCATCCTAGAAACAAAAATTGGGACCACTAGGGGGCCCATCTGATGGCGCCCGTCGCTTCTGCTCAGCGAAGTTGCAGCACATGCATAGGCTACACAATCACAGCAGGGCTTAGCAGTTCTCCAAGTTTTCATATACAGCCTCCTCCTCTCCAAAAAACTAGCAGCTAGCAGCCACCACAATAGTGCAGATGCCAAGACAAAACAAGTGTTGATAGCTTTATGGCCGTGGCCTGCGAGCTGTTGCCACTTGCACCGCATGTGCAGTTTTTGCGCCCCCTCACCTATTCAATGGTTCAGGTCAAGCACTCCATGACGCAGCAAGGAAGCCTTCATCGTGCTTTGAGTCTAAGATCGCAGCATCTATCATTGCAGTCAGGTTCGCGCATTGTGTCAACAACTTCTCATACTTCTGCTTTGCCTGCCAGGCGCAGCCAACTATCAATGCTTGCCAAACATGCAGACAACGGAAGATTCTGCTGTGTTGGGTAATGTTCAAAAATCCCCATCCTTGACTCTCTCCTGCCGATGGACGCACACAACTACTCCTGTCTATAATCGACTCCCTGTCCCTTATCCCTGTGGAAGAGCCTCGCGCAGATTTCTTTCCAGCTGCTGAATTCGCTGGTCCTTCCGCTCGATTTTCTTGTCACTCTCCGCACTTTCGACCTGTTCAAGGTGGTCACCTCCAACATGGAAGTTAAACGAGTCTGGGGTACCACATTGCCTTCAAACCGCTGTTTTGAGCAACCAGCTTGTGGTACATCACCTTGGCATGAACCATCCAAGGATAGTGCAAGGCTGCGCATGGGGCATAGACCGGTATGGACGGTATAGCGGCTTGCACGGAAACTAACTCTAGAACTTGGCCCATCTGCCGTAAGCTGCTCCAGATTTTGATCCAGACGAGAAACCTGGACATTGGCGCAAGCAATTTGCATGGTAGGTAAAACCGAGAGGTAGCCGTCAAAGCACCAGGAACAAGACCTTCCATTTCAACAACGGCCTTTCCGCATCGTTGTCCTCCATGGATAACAACGGTCTAAGCAAGACTGGTCGGGGTTTTGAACCGAGGGTTCAATCCAGAAAGCCTCGGACTTCTTTTGGGGCCAAATCCCACGCCCAACACTTTTCCACGACCCTCTCCGAATTCGGTACCCACGCTAGGAGTTAAAAGAAACGGGGTACGCGCTGGAGGCACTCAGGCTTCAATGCTTGCGTCTCGACTTGAATTTCGGTTCGGGGTCTGGGATGTAAAACATGCAGCAGTCAAGGCAACCAACTGCTCAGGACCAGCAGCCCAGCAAAAAGACTTAAAGTAGTCTTAAAATATCCACCGACCTCACGGGGGTCAGAGCTCGTGAAGGCTTTGTCTTCGTTCTCGCCATACTCGCCACTATCCCTTCCCCTCCTCAGCTCTTTTCGTTCTCCCGCCACCGTCACCAAACCTCACGCATCCTCTTACGTTTCGTGGAGAGGCTTTCCTTTAGATGCTTCCGCCCTTACGCCCTCACCACCATCACCACCCCACCACCCTCACAGAGCCGCCTCACACAAACCCCAAGCCCAGTCCTTACGTACGTCTTACACTTCGAGACAGTTTTAGAGTCCCCTCACAGAGCTGCCCTGCCCGCCTCGCCACCCTCGCCACCCTGACCACCCTCACACAAACCTCAAGCCTCCTACGTTTCGTGGCCCGCCCCTTTAAATGCCTTTCAAGCCCCTTGAGAGCGACATTTGTGTTAGAAGGTCCTAGAAGGTCCCAATGCGCACGTCACCGCCCTCGAAGGCGGGGAGTGTGGGAAGGGGTTTCTGTCAGGGTGGTGGAGGTCGGGCGTGTGTTGGAACATTTAAAATTCCACCATCTCTACGAAGGCGAGCTCTCCATACATTGGGATTCGGCGGGTGGCGACGCCGGCGCGCGTTGGGACCCTATACATGGCTTCGGTAGCTCCACGAAGGGTGTAAGGGGGGCCTCTTCACGAAGCGTGGCTCCCCCAACCTGCCTCCTTTGGCGAACTTCAAGACGCCCCCTCCGAACCTCAGCTACCCTTCGTGGCGGCATATGCCGCCGACCTTCCTGAAAAACCAAGATGCCGGACACGCCCTCCGAAAGGCATAATGCTTTGGGTGCTTTTGTTGATGCTTTCTCATGCTATCCCCCTAGAAAGCAGCTTCCAGGTCAGTGGCTGGGACAGGGCCTCGGAAGCGGCTGAAGCATCCGAAAAGCAGACATCGCTGTAAATAGTGTTGCTTTCACGTGCTGATGTGGAAACTCTTGGTCGAGCCCCCGTGGCCTTGCGGCCGCAGGGCTGATGCTCATGATGCACGAGGGCCGCAGACAGGACCCCCTCGGGACCGCGGGGGCGAGGGTCATCGAGCCAAGGGCATAATGCGCATCTCTGAAACGCAACAGTGCAGCATCCCAAAATGCATGCTGCGCTGCCATTTCCACGCTATTTCCACACTATTCTCAGGGGTTCGGCGTTCGGCGGCTTCGGGATGCGCAGTTTGGGTAGCCTTTCTGGGCATCAAGCAGCCCAGGGACCGCAGCACATCCGTGGCAGCTCGCCAGCGCGTGCAAAGGATTCTTCGTTGTTCTTGATGTTCTTGTTTTCGTTATTGTTGTTGGCTCCAACGTTCTGAAAATGCGCGCGCGATTGGCACGTGCCAATCACAAGTTTTTTGTGTGCTTCACATTCTAAAAAATCCACTGCCGTCGGCTATTTTTCGATGCGTGAAATTTCCACGTTCTGACACATGTGGAAAACATCGTTATTCGCAAAGTTTCGCACATGTGCGAGGCCAAAAGCATCTCTGTTTGCGATGTTTCGCATGTGTTCGAGGCCAGAAAACTTGTATATCCATGCCCACACGATGACTATGACCGTGTTACCAGCGCATGCGAGTCAGAGCATCCATGCCGGGAATCCATGCAAGCACGATGATTACGTCTGTGTGACCAATGCGTGCGAGTGGCCAGAGCATCCATGCCCGCACGATGATTGCGTACGATTGCGTCCGTGTGACCAGTGCGTGTTAGTGGCCAATGATGCCTACGTCCGTGGTAACAGTGCGCGTGAGTGGCCAGAGCCTTCATGCCTGCACGATGATAACGTCTGTGTGACCAGTGTGGGCGAGTGGCCCGAGCATCCATGCCCGCACCGATGATTTCGTCCGTCTGACCAGTGCCTGTTACCGCACGATGATTACGTCCGTGTTGCGGTTGCCGAAATACCAGAACCAGATTAGTTGATGCAGTCTTCTCGCGCGGCCCTGTGCCTGAAACCTTAGTCCTTGACTGCAACTGCAGAGAGGGTTCAGGATTCAGGGTTCCGGGATTTCGGTGTGGCTTAGGGTTGAGTGCTAGGCCTTTCGGGTCTTTGCTTAGTTCGAGCAGGTCTTACTCCTGCAGCTGTTGCGGTATCGAACCCTAAATACTAGATCGTAAAGGACCGGGCCTGGCTACGCGTCCTAAACCTAAACCTTCAGCCTTCAACTAAGGAATGGTGCAGCGCAAAGCCGAAAAGCTCCAACCTTCAGCCGAACTCGCTGAAGCGCCTGTGCAAAGCCAAAGCACACTGAATAGAAATTCCCTAAAAGCGTGCAGTGCAAAGCCCGAACTCAAATTGCTTTCAGGTTCGCCGCGACGCGACGCCGGACAAACAAAAAAAACACGAAAATAGAAAATCCCGTGAACAGGACGTCCAACGCGAAACGCGCCTTTTTTTCTGGAGTTCTTTGAAAAAAAACATGCTCTAGATTCATTGAACCAAATAGCCACCTTTCTCCTTCCTGACAATTTGAGCGGCCTCCCCAAAAACCCGACACACTCTGCAGAGCCTGCACGGCTGGCTTTTCATTCTAGGGCCTCTGGGCCTAGAAGGGAACCACTGAGAAGGGAGTGCTGCAGCGCTCAGGTGTCCTCAGCCGACGAAGCACGGCAGCCAGGCCTGAGTGACTTGGAGTCACTTGGAGTGGCTTGGAGTGACTTGGGTCCTGTGCCATCGACATGCCCCGCAGTGCCCCGCAGTGCCCCGCAGTGAAGTGGTGAGTGATGGTGAGTGCAAGGCCCTTTGCCGGTTGGTGCACTTGCCGCCTCGAGCGAGCTCTGGAAATGCTACATCTGCAAATCAAGTACGATAAACACAGTAAACACAAGTTGGCATGGATGGCACAAGACTCGGGGCTGCTCAGACTGGATGAGATTCTGATGGCTCTTTGTCAGCTCCTGAACGCGGGCTGCCACACGTAGTCTGGCCGATCTCGGCATGGTCTTAGACTAAAATTCGGATCACGAAAAGCTCTGACTGCTCGGCATGTTCCGCGCCGGCCCCCAGTTCGCAAAAAAAGCTCAACCCGAAGCCCTCTCACCTCTCGATAGAATGGTTTTCCCAAGATTGCTGCCAAAGCAGAGCATTTGCGCTGGAGTTCGCGACAGGTCAAAGTGTCGTTCTTTGATGGTGATGTCCTCCAGTTCTTGTGCCAACCGCACTTTTTCATTTCGGAGCCTGTCACTATCTGTTCACAGTCGCCACATGCACACCCAAGTCATTCCGACTTGACAAAGAAGTCTCGAACCAAAGTGCAGAAACTCGTCAGCTCAACTTTTCCAGCTCGGAGACCTGCTGTGCACGAAAGTTTCACACATGAAGTTATCGCCCGCTTTCTGAAACCCAGCTGCTTTCGCCGGCCCTACAACAGGACCTCAGAGAAAACCGACCTAGTCACCTAGTCGCTAAAATCAGGGCACCAAATGTTGTTCTCTCGCACGCCTGTTCGTTTCTCTCGTACTCGATGCTTTCGCGGTCGTTTTGCGCCTCAGCTCCAACCGCAACAAAGCCATACAACACACGCACACACACACACACACACACACACACCTACACCTACCTCCTCCTCAGGTCCTCTTCCAAAGATTGCTCAGAACCTGGCGTCCATTGCCTGCATCGTTAGCCGATGCTTTTCATCTTCTGCCACACGTAACTGCCTCATATGAATCTGGCTATGATGAGCTGTGCCACAATGTGTCGCAACATGCCACTATGACTAGTTCAGGTCCACTACTGTAGGCTGCACACGATTGAACCTCCTCCTTCTCCCTGTTGGCCTTTTTTCACGCTCATGGGCTCAAGTTGATTGTCACAGTTGATTCCCAGAACATCTGGGACATGTTGAACACGGGAGTCCGTTGACTCGAACTGCTTTTGTGTAAGCCTGCCTCACAGAGCTGCTCCGAGGTCGTCTTGAGCTTTCCCCTGAGTTCCTCAAGGATTACTTACGGCTGTAAAGTGTGCACACGTATGCATACTCTTTGTCTCGCAAAGGGCCAGAACAGCCTTGGTTGCTTTGGTTGGCTACTCGGCCCGTCCTGAAGCTGTTCCTCCAGCTCAGCATTTTGTGCTTCATCAACCGGAGTCGGCACGGCCCCAGCTGGCAGGAACACTGCCGAGCTTTTGTCCTCAAGAAGGTGATAAAACTAGGACATGGGCTCTGTGTGAAGACCTGGACACCCGTGCGATTTCCTCTGGCACAGTGATCCCATTCGAGCGTAGCAGCTGCTCCAGCCTTGGTTTGCTGACAATGCCTAATGTCATGCTGCCCCCTCATATCTCCACATGTGGCCCTGCGGATGTCAAGTCGCACACATGGAAACCCGACCACGCAGCTCTGACACTGCCTCCCGCAAAAACGTTGACTTGGAACTCATCAGTATCAAAATAACTTGGCAAATGATTATAGCTGTCCTGGTCTCTTCGCTCGAGGAGAAGCTTCAGCTCCTGGAAAGGAACTCCACTCTGCGATCCCAAAGTAACAAAGTTTCAATGTGCCCTTCAGACCTTCAGATTTTTCACAATTGAAATGTGATGCACTCCTTTGCCTGCTTATACTTGCATGCAGATGTCATGACTGCAGTCCTGCAAGTAAAATCTTGAGAATTGAAAAAGAACTGGGCTTATGGCGCTGTTTTGGAAAGGCTGTTTTGGAGTGCTCCGACAGCACGCGCCCCACGTGGTGTGGGGAAGGCACATTGACACTTGCCAGGGCGAAAGACATGCGACGCGTGAATGTACATCCCGTGCATGACTTTCTGACTTGGGGTGTGCCTGGAATTCCTGCTGGATGAGGTGCTCTTGTAATCTTACTTACAAAGAGCTTCAAGCTGTGGATTTGCCCCCCGCGTGATTAAGGTCGTCAACTATGAGAAAGCTACTCCCATGATTGAGTATTCAGGTTGAAGATGGCTCTCCGTGCGTGCGAGGGAGATGCGAGGCAGTAGTTGACAAGTGATGTTGTTACCCCACTAACCACTTGCCAACTTCATGGTCTTTGGGCTTGAGGCTTGCAAACTCCCAAGGCATTAAGCTGCACGAGATACAAATCGCGAAGCCGTGGAAGTTTGATTGCGATCACACGACAGCAGATCTTTCCACCATGCTCGGGGTGCCCGTTCAGGCCACCCACCGGTGACGGGGGAGACTCAGGCCTACTCATCGTGCAACCTGGCCGACATGGCAAAGATAGCCTCCATTCCACACAAACTTATTCCCACTGGAATCGCTGGAGATAACTGGAGTCACTGGAGTTTGGAGTTTCGTCGGGTTCTCTACTTTCTTCAATGACAGTCTCTCAAACCACGACAGCAACATGCCGAGCAGGCATGACTCCAGAGTTTCTTATCCACATGTTCACGCACCATTTCGATCAAACACTTTTCGGCTGTGCGTGACCATTGTGTCTGGAACTTTCACGCCGCCGACGGGAGTTCGGCAACATCCGATAAACGGAAGACGAAGCCCTCTGACAAAAGAAGTGCTGCGCATCGCTACAGTGCGAAGGTAGAGTTTCGCACTTGACAGCAGTCTTCTCTTCTCCGTTCAGCAGGTTGCTTGAGCACGTAAATCCACATCGCGTCTGCCATTGAGACTGGGCTACTGTAGCACTGCACAATGCACCTCCACAGACCGCTCATGGTTGACCTTCACTACATTCTTGATCATCTTGGCCTGGCATTACGTGCTGCAATGCTGCATGGCGCAAGTCTCAAGGCAGCAAACGCAAGCGCCCTGCCCGCTGACCGAAGCGTAGTGTGCTCACAGTCTCCTGCTGCACATTACCACACCATGAAACACTCGCAAGGCCACAAGCTGCGTATTGTGGCATCCGCAGCCTGCTCGTTGAAATAAGAAGGAGAGCAAGTAATGATCAAAGATGTCTTGGCGTTCCCACCCAACGACTCTTGCAGGACCTCATTGCTATGCTCGTCTGATCTCGTGTGTGTCATCGTGTTGCACGTAAGTACAAATACATCAGAGCCTGACTCTGGAGAGCTTGGAGTCACGGTAAGGAACGTGATTAGACTTGCGGTCTGTGAGAGCATTGATCACCTCGCGAAGGCCAACAAAGGCTTGCACAAACCTGCCCTAACAGCCTTGATCTTAACCTGTTTCGATACAATGGCAACAACGGTTGCAATTCTCAGCCCCGAGCGTTGCCCAGAGCCGAAAGCGACCGGTTGATATTCTTGGCCTGCAATGCAATAACGCGGCTGTGCTGCTTGCCCTCCTAACGCCTAGAAAGAGCGTCATCTTGCAAGCCAAATAGACTTAGAATGCTTAGGAAGATGCTAAAACAATGATGACACCAGTACGAATACAAACCGGAGTGGATGGGCAGAACTGCACAAGTTCTCGTCCTCTTGTCAGGAAAAGGTCACGGCTGCTTACCCTGACAATCCCAGCTGCCCATCAGCTACCAGACCCTTAGAATATGAGAAACTGGCCAAAGAAAAGGCACCGCTTGCCTCATCCAAGCGTTCGCCGGAGGCTCCAGTCTTGGCCACCTCACGCGGAAAACACCAGGGACCTAATTTGCTTTGTCCCAAACCCACAACAGCATGACCTTCACATGGTGGATTCGCATTTCAGCCATGTCAGCCTTCTCGCTGCCAGCAAGATCCACCAAATGCAGCTTGCCCACCTCACCGTGTGTAAGTCCGGCATGTGCCATCCACTCCATACCATCACGCTCAGTTCCTATCCTTCCTCTCGCTTCCTCTCGCAGATGCAAAGACATGTGCCACATGTTGTACTAAAGCAAAACGCCTCAGGATCGGTTTGAAGGGACTCAGCACATTGAAAATACTGGCAAAGTCCGTTGCCAAGAAGGAGCAATAGCTGTGTTTATGAGTCCTGAGGATGGGTGGACAAGACTCCTGCTACGTCCAGAACACTTGTCCGCAACTTGATGCAAGAGAGGCGTCGCAAGAAGGTGGGGCTTAGCAGCCAGAGCAAGTGGGTGAAAGCTGTGAAAAGCCCCAAGACCAACCCAGCACTCCAAAGCCCGGAGCCCAAGCCTGAAATGCCTGAAATTCACAGAAAACGCTTCACGGCGGCATGCTTTGCACATGGCTTCTTACTGCTTGAGAAAACATGTTCAAGCAATTTGCCAACGGCCATGCACGGTCTTCAACGCACCTTGACGGAGCGATCGTGCAAGTTGGTCTGCTCGATGGTAAGCATGAAGATTAGGTGTGACCTGTCAGGCAGCATCACCAACGCCTCCCGATACCTAATTATGCAATGGCCTCAATCAATGGGCATTTTGTCTGCTGCAAAAGCCTGGATGAATGTTCATTGAGGTTGGTCGCCGCCACAGCGCGGTTGTACTTGCCAGTTTTCCTGAGTCTGGTCTCGATAAGTACTGCTGAATTTGCAACCTCTCAACCGGTATTACTGTTCCTATTTCACATCTCAGGCAGGCACATGATGTCAAAAATCTCTTGCTCAGACCTGAGCAATCTCATTGGCACTGGCACCCGTCAGAAGACTCAGGCTAGTTTCGGTCAAGTTTGAAAACAAAGCCGCGTCATTGAATCCCTGAGTAGCGGAATCCCATTGAATCCACGCAACCATTCGAAGATAGCTTGAGAAAGATTTCGTTTGCTGAGAGCGCAGCCCAACATATGTCTCGGTGACTTCACCGATGAAGACACCCCGAGCCTGTTACTATCAGTCTTGAGTAGCCTTTTTGATATGGGAAAGCGGCCTTGTCCTCGTGGATTTTTAAGTTGTCTTTCTTCGGGTCCAGCAAATCCCGAATGCCTACGAACGCTTATGCAGTTCGTGCAAAGGAAACGCTGCACACAGGCTATACTGTCGACCCCGCGTTCGTTGTAAATCTCAACGATGGAGACTTTCACCAAGAACTCGATGTAGTCTGCAGCCTCAAGTTCGCACAGAGAAGTTAGAGAAGCACTGCTCGAGAGGCTCCTTTCGTAAGGGTGACACATGGTCAATGCCGTCAAATATTGACCATACCATCCTGCCAGCATCGTCATGATTCAACATCAGCAAAAGCGAGCACAGTGAGGCACGAGCACTTCTATTGCTCGACCAAGTGTGCATGTTTGTGCGTGTGTGCGAAGGCGAAGGTAGCAATTCTGAGGAGTCCCGCGCCCGGAGTCAAGGCTGCAGCAGATCGGCTTCTCAAACCCGACAGTGAACACCAAAACGACGGGCACAGTGGTGACCGCACGCAAGAATCACAGCATCCCCTATACGCGGACTCAACCCTCACTCTGCACCACTTAGGTCATTGGTGAGGAACTCAAAACCTGCTCAGATTTTGGCGCCTCTAGAACAAGCTTAGTGAATGGCTCCACAACGGTTCAAACCTCAGGCACCGCTCCAGGTCAAAGCCTTTGTAATCAGCGCGGATGACTTCATCAACCCACAGGCTGCAGGTATGCTTGACATGAAGGGACGATTTGTGCTGCAGCAAGAGCATCAGTTCATCGTGTCTCACACGTATTGTTTACATACGGTATTGCACGGGTGCAAGCTGGAGCAAATAATCTAAAAACACGCACTTGTGATGGCACATGTCTGTCTGCCGATGGATCGCAACTGGCCTGGGAATAACACCCATCTGGACTTCATCTTCAATGTCTGGTCCCTGACGGGGCTCTCATTCTCGCATACCTTCGGCACATGCCACTAGCCCGCCCTCCTCCATGGTGTGGGTCTTTCCCGATGCTGTTTGACCTTGGCTGACTGAGGGAGTGGTCATCCCTCCAGGATTACGCAATTTTCTGTACTTCGACGTGTCGTCTGAGGACCACTCCATATGCGAACACTGTGCCATTAAAGCCGCGAAGCCTCAAGAACTTCCATGCTAGCCACAGCCACAGCGGCCGGTTCATGTCATGCTTGCCAGCCCGAGTCCATCTTAGAGAAGGGGCACACCGTTGATGATGGGCTTGGCAGCATAGTCATACACCTGCAGAGTGCAAACATGTGAAACATGTGCAAACCTCAGGTCCTGAGAATCACGTCTGCTCACCTCATATACAACACTTATACGACTGCATCCAATATGCCTCCTTCTGCGTCGCATCCACACCGAAGACCCTGTCGAAAACAAAGCTGTTGTCAATCGACGGCACGTACCTGTGGTAGCTTGGAATGAGAGGCCGAAGACACAACCATGGATAGCAGCAAGTTGTTCTGCGATGCTACCAAACCTCTGAAAGGCTGGACATATACCCATCATACAAGTACAGCGACCAGCCAGAGCCCGGATGTATGTGAACTATTGTGAACTTGTCAGTGGAAAGCACATCTGAACAAGTGGCCCGATTCGAAGGTCACACGGAAGTCCCATCTCCATTGACGGTGACACAAATCCGGCCGCTTTGCTCTTTCTCCTTCTCCAATTGATTTTGCGGCCGGAACCTGGCACAGACTCCAAGACACCCCACACCGGCCCTGCGATGGCTGAGCAGGTTAAGCACCTGCAGCAAACCTTTATGCTCTCTTCATGCCTCAAGTGACGAGGGTCGATGCGGCCAAGACATATCACACAGGCGAAAGGACAAAAGGCCCCCCATGGCGTCATGCCTGCCAAAGCAACAAGCCTAAGACTCTTGCGGATCTTGCCCATCAGTGGCCATCTGCTAGCTCAAGCTGACACCTTCAAGTGCAAAGGCCGCATTACAGTACGTGTCCAGGCAGACGTCGCGGCCAAGGTCTCGACAGTTGGCATTCATGGACCTGGCATGACCTGGCAGGGCAGGGGTGCGTTGAGTGCCAGATTGCTTTCAAGCCGCTTTCAAGCCGCTTTCAAGCCGCTTTGAAACCGCTTGAACATTGAACCTTGAAAGATCCAAATATCCATGCGGCCTGAGCTCCTCGGGCCAAGAGCGTGGAGAGCAGGCTTAGTGCAATCTAACACTCTTCGAACGTTTGGGAGTTTGCCGAGATTAGTACTTCTTTTATTCTCTTTTGCTTCTTACGTGGCGATGTGGGATGTATGCGATAGCGGCAGCTTGTACCAAGTCTGGCTGGAACGCTCTTGTGTCATACGGTGACCTGCATGCAGCTCTTGAGCATTCATCAGCATTCGTTCCCCAGCTGCAAGAGACAACCAGCGGCCACATTCTGTCTAACAGCTTGCTGATGATGCAGAGCACAGGACTTTTCTGAAGCCAGTGCTGCACTCGTCTGGCAACCTGCCCGGGCAGGTGTAGATTAGGTTTGGGGGGGCTTACTTCGGGCACAAAATACGAGCAAGGCGCAGGCAGGACGACGAGGGCAATCCAACTGATTCTTTTTCGCGAATGTCGAGGCCTCTTCGACGCTGCACCGCCTTCCAGGATGGGGCCATGCCGATTCGTAGGCAGAAAATGGCAGAAAGCCAGCAAAACACGAGCCTTTGTAGTGGAGACCAGAGGAACCCGGACATCTCCGGCCTGAGCGGGCACTTCTTGAAATGTCCTCTCAGAATCCTTTCATGTCTTCCAGCACATTCCAGCACCTTCTCAAGTTTCAAGATCAAGACTATTGTAGGGATCTCGCATCATGCCTGGCACACAAGAAAATTTCAGAGCTGTGTGTCAAAGCAGCAGTGCATGCACGTGGGAGAGGCAGCTGCATTTTGCCCCTCACCGTGTCACCGAGGTCAGCGGAATTCACACGTCGCGAACTCGGGGATTGGCGGTCACGGGTGCGCGGATTCGCACATTCGTGGATTGGCGGATTGGCAGATTCGAAGGCGCGCGGGCGCGTGGATTGGCGGATCCGCGGATTTGCGGATTCACCGGTCGTGCATTCGCGGCTTCATGGATCCGCGGATTTGATTTGCGTTTCCTGTTTGGACGCTGTCAGGATAGCTCTCGAAGAAAGGTGGTCGAGGGCACAAGCGGCCTCAATATCACGACTAAAACGTATGAAGCCTCTGCAAAGCCAACCCAAAGTTTGCCACCGAAAGAGGCATGTCCAACCGAGAAACCACGCTTTGTCAAAGCAGCATTGCTGGTGCTAGGTGAGCCTTCATGCTGAGACAGCTGTTCTATCAAGCTGATTTCTCTGAGAATGTCTTCACCAGTCTCAAACAGCATGAAGACAGTTATGCAACGTGAGCTTCGCAGCCTTGGCACGACCAAGGCTCCTCTGCTTCCACAGATTTTCAGCACGATGAAGGGATGCATCACGTCCTGACAAAACCACTGGAGATACAACACCCTCCTGGTGACACTATGTCACTATGTGCTACTGTACTCCAATGTGCTCCATTGCACTCCTGTGCAGCAACTGCGGTAGCAGCTTTCAAGAGACCTCGCTGAAAGCCAAGCCCTGACAGCATGCTTTTCAGCGGGTCCTGAGGCTGAGCAGAAAAGGCTCTCAGAGTCTCTCACAGGCAATATCAACAACAAGACATTCAATTCTGAACCAAAGCTTCTCGGTCCTTCCATGTGCCTAAAGTGGACTGACCGAACTCAGCACAGATCCACTTGAGGCAACGTGGCAAAGACCTCGATGTGCACTGTAGGTCACTGATGATCACTGTGGTTTGACAGATGCTGAACAGCCAGGGCCAAGAGAAAGGCAAATAAGCCAAGATGGCGGTCATCGCCTGAATCATTCTCAGGAAGAGGAAGGGGGGAGGGGGGGGGGGGCGGGGGGCCCAGTGTGGGGCATTGCATCTTGCGTTCTGTGACGCCTTGGACGCGAGTTCCCGCAGGGCGAGTTCCAAGCCAAGTCTTCTGCCTGAGTCAAAGTTGGGAATCCGAAGCAGCAGTTCCCGGCACATGCTTCACTCTTGTCAGACATTGTGGGAATGCCGATTGCAAGCTCGCACTCACATGCCAGCACATGCCCTCTTGCCGAACTTGCCCGAGAGCTTCACGTTCAGAACCTCCAATGCTTCCAACAAGGCTTTCCTGTCAGCAAAGCATTGGACATCGAGCATTGTGTTTTTGCCATCCGCAGCCAAAGGCCTGCTTGCGAACTGTCAAGCCGAGAATTCCGAACCACAACTCCTGAAGAAGCAAGAGGCAACGTGGAGAACAGGAAGTGCAAAATGCACACGGACGATGCCTCCAACTGCGTCTCTGTCATGATGTTTGAATTCCTTACAAGGAGCTTGAGTTTTCAACGCTGCACCTCAGAGATCCCAGCAGGCCTCGATGTGAGCTCGTATGCATTCTGCAAGATGTTCACACATTTCTGAGCCTTGACATCAAGTAAGTGCAACAGACACACTCATGAGATCTGGCGACTTTTTGGCGGCCTCCGGAAAACCTTCATACCATGCCTGTTGGACAGATCAGGCATCACTTTGGAAAAACGGGAAGTGTCGAGACATCAGGTGCCTCTTTAGTGGCATGTCCACCAGGCACCTGCACGAGCAGTAAACCCAGTACAAAAACAGTAAAATAGTAACTAATCCAACGGCAGACGCAATGAGGGTGTCATGCGGTGAGCCGCACACAAAAAGTGGCATGGCACCGAAGCCTCTCCGCTGCAGAGGCGCTTCACAGCCTTGGCTCTACAGCATGCTCGTGGCACCTACAGCCACGTAAGCTCGTTGCACGGTTTCACGATGTTTCACGCTCACACTGGTTTGCCGACAGCAGGGCCAAACGAGACGGTGTGCTTCAGCTTGGAATTTTCCGTGCTTGAGTATCTTGAAGATGCGAAACACACATGTTGGCTTGAGGCAAAGGATGGCGAAAGGGCTGATGTGTGCCAGACACCGGGAGCGGCCAGCCCGGAAAACAGGATGGATTTGTCTGATGTAGTAAGAAGGTCCGGCGCCACATGCCTGATCATGGCGATGGTGATTTTGCATGCTTTGCACTCTGGCAGAGTTCTTGGGTATAGGAGAAGTGGACGTTGAGGTAGAAGAGGCAACGCATCGCGTAATAGAGAGCCAATGAGGTGTTAAGTGAATAACTAAAGAAGAAAAGGGACAAAAAAAACACACACACACACACACATGCTCTGCAAGCACTCTGCAACATTGCGAAGCACTGCCCTGGCAAAATGTCCAATACGTCGCTGCTTGACATGTTCATGTCCACACTGCATCTCTGCTTTGAATGGTCAAATTGCTGCAAAGTGCTTGTTTCCCGTTGAGATTTCAACATCTTCATGTGTCAATCATGTGAACTGCGTGTCTTGGTCCCCGCACGTACAGCGGTGTCCCACACACAAGGGACAGAGACACACCGATCGATTCACGACTGGATGTAATACTAAACTTACTAAACTGTAGATTGCGGCAACGGTGCACTTGTGGCCATGTCTCAACATCACAGCGATGATAACACAAGATGGTGCCATAGACAGCTGGCAGGACGAATGACGTCACAAACATGAAGCGGGTTTGTAACCAGGCGTTCCTAGTGATATCTCGAAATCATGGGAGGAGCTTCGTTGGATGGAGCCTCACATGCTCCCTCCATCCCAATGGTGCTTGAAGTTGAAGAAGAGCAAAATGGACAGCGCTATTTCGAATCGTGAACATGAAAAGCACGCAGGGTTCGTCTCTGTACTAAGGCGGTTCACACATGCAGAGAGAAACACACACACACACACACCTCACACATCACCGCAACGTCATTGGAGGTTGCATCTGTGGCACGAACCCTTGACACCACACTGCGGTCTGTGCCCAGTTGGCCAGCGAAGCACCTGAGTCTAGAGTCGAAAACATCCCCTTTCGCTCTGACTTGAACGACCCTGACTTGAACGACCCGCGTAAAATTAACGGTGCCGAGGCGAACACAAACATCAAAATACTCACAAAAATCTACAATCAAGTTGCAAACATGTGTAGAAGCTTGTAGACAAGTTGTACTGAAAGAAAAGGTCATTTGACTTGAAGCAGAGTAAGTTTCCAGGCGCACACAGCTTCTCCATGGCATCGGAGCAGTCATTCAGCACAAGCCTTCAGCACGCTTGGATTATGTCATGATTCTGTGTCCATCATCACGCCACCAGTCAACTGTCTCACGGCTGAAACTCAAGGGCTGCTGCGCAGACGTCACATCAGTTGTCTTTCAGCTGGCTTCTTTGTCTGCTACGGTCAAAAGTTGCCCGACAGTCTGATACAGGCTACCAGTGAGCATTGAAAGTCTGGATGAGCTGTACTGGCCCTGTCTTGGCCCATACTCTACTTGGATACCAGCTTCGCGCTAACCTCTGCCCAAACTTCAGTGATCCCCTTGCCTCCGTCCACTTGTTTGACGATGCCCTTGTCCTTGTAGTGCTCCAAAATTGGGAGGGTCTGGTTCTTGTAGGCATCCAGGCGGGTCTTCAATGCCTCCGCTGTGTCGTCCGACCGCTGGTACAATGGTTCGCCGGTGATGTCATCCTTCATTGTCTCCGGCACAGGCTTGCCATCAGCACCCAGCTTCATCGATTTCGGCGGGCACGAACGAACATGGTAGGAGCGGCCGCTGCTCTTGTGCATCCATCGTCCGCAGATTCGCTCTTCCAACATCTTTGGATCTACTGCGAACTCCAAGATGAGCGACACATTCTCTCCACTCTTTGCCAGCATGGAGTCCAGCGCCTTTGCCTGAGCAAGTGTCCTGGGAAAGCCATCTAGGATAAAGCCTGTTTTGCAGTCTGGCTGCTTGATTCTGTCTGCAATGATTCCGATCACGATATCATCAGAGACCAATCCCCCCGAGCTCATGATCGCTTTGGCTTTCTTGCCAACTTCCGTTCCGGCTGCCACGGCCTCACGAAGCATGTCGCCGGTGCTGAGCTGTGGAACATTCAGCGTGTCGACAATCTTCGGTCCCTGGGTGCCTTTGCCAGCCCCAGGAGCACCAAAGAGCATCATGATCTTCCGAGGCCAGTACTTCTCGTACCGCTCCGTCGAAGCCTCGCCCTGGCTTTTGCCAAAGAAGTACCCACCAACGGCACCTGCGGCCAATCCTCCAAGCACGGCGGCACCCAGGGCAGCAGGGTCTGTCTCACAGCGTACCGGCACCGTAGGCGCCACTTTGTGCTTTCTTTCTTGAGGTGCCCAAAGTGCCAGCCCTGCCGTGCCTGCGGCAGCGCCTGCAGCTACGCCTGCACAAAGACTTCGACCACGCAGGACACTTCGGAACATGCTGGCAGCCAGCAGTCCAAACCGAGGCTTTCTTCAAGGTCTATCAAAAAGTGCTGTAGAGCCGAAGATTAGGAAGATGGATACAACTTGCAGCAAGCGGCACGCAAACCCTGCAGACGGAGAGTTGTGCCACTCAGGTGTCGGCTGCAGGACGCTGGCAAAATCTCCAGTACGCTCTAGAAGGTGCACAGAAGCATCTGTGACACCGTACCTGTACTGCGGAAGCGGGACACCGAGTGCCTTCCACGCAGTCTTCAAACACTGTCAAAAACTTGCCTGCTGCAAAGCTCGAGGCATTCCCTGAGTGGCAAGGCCTGCGATTGCACAAAAGAAAACTTGAAAACAAGCTGTCGACCCAGCTAACGGCATCGAACGGTTGAAAGAACAGAGAAGGGGGAGGAACACGCCGAGACTTGCGACATAGCTCTTTCCACTTTACATCTGCACCACTTCACCCTCTTAAGGACTTGTGGCTGCCCCCTTCAAGATTCAAACCAAGGCTTGGGCCTAGAGGTTCCTGAATGTGTCTTTGAAAGGGCTCAGGACGTTAATTCAAGGGATTTGCCTATTGTGTCACTCATCGTCACTCCTTTTAGGACTTTGGAGTCCAACCTTCTCGGTGTGAAGGGTGAGACTTCAAGCCAGAGAGCACCCATCTACCAAGCATCACTAACGCTTTTTGGATGCCAAGAACATCATAAGCCATTTGATTCAACTGAGCTTTCAGGGATTCGGACTCGCCAGGTTTTGGTGTTGTTTGGGGTTGCGGCTTCACGTTGGGGATCTGCGCTTGGGATGTTTTAATGGTGGTTTGAGCCCCATGCTCACGGCACCCATGGAATCCTCCCCCGGCAGCATAAATCCATCGTAGTGCAAGTCACAAGCCATACGACCCAGAGCCCTGTAGCCCCTGCAATCACGGTTGCAGGGTATTTACATCGATCATGAGTCTGCATGGCGCAAGCATGAAATCCGCCGACCCCAGCTGGAGCGGGGGCGGCGTCAGTGAAGACCCATAGTGCGCTCCATTCCCTGAGTTCCCATGGCCTCAGCACGCCCAAACCCTCGCCGGTACTCCATTCCCTGAGTTCGTTCCCGTGCATGCCCAAACCCCCGTCGCTCCACCCGTGCCACCCATGGCCTCAGCACGCCCAAACCCATGGGGCCTCATGGCCCCATGGCCCCAAGGTCCCATGGCCCCATGTCCCTATTTAGACCCGAAGCAGTCCCCGACCCGAGGCTGGCCTGGCCCCCAAGGGCCCCCATGGCCCCATGGCCTCATGCACGGCACGCCCGCCCACTCCGCTCCCCTCTTGCTCTCCTCTGACCCATACGCGGTCTCCTCTCATGCCCCCATGCCTCCCACACAGACCCTAAGCTGAGTTTTAAGGGCTCCGGTGCACTGCTCGCTCCGCTCCCCGTGCTGTCCATGGCCCATAGCTGAGTTTTAAGAGCTCCAGTGCAGTGCATGGCCGCCCCCTCGCTGCCCCTCCTCTCCCCGCCCGCTCCGGCCAAGCCCCATGACCCCCATGGCCCCCATGACCCCCATGCCCCCAATGGCCTCCTGGCCCCATCATGGCCCTGCCGTACCAGGCACCAGGCATGCCCATGCCCCCATGGCCCTATCGCCCGCTACCAGGCATGCCATGCCCGCCCCGCCCGCTCCGCTGCCCCTGCTCTCCCCGCCCGCTCCGCCCGGCCATGGGACCAGGCGATGCCATGCCCTTCATGGCCCCCACGGCCACCCATGGTACCAGGCACGCCATGCCCCATGGCCCATGACCCGCATGGCTGCCATGGCCCCCATGGCCCTGGCCTCCATCACACCATGCCATGCCCGCATGGCCCTTCATGGCCCTGCCGTACCAGGTACCAGGCATGCCATGCCCCCATGGCCCATGGCCCCCATGGCCCCCATCCCATGTCCCTAAGGAGTTTTAAGGGCTCCAGTGCATGCTCCCATCCTGCTGTTTGCTCCCATACTGCTGTTTGCCCAAAAAAAATATATATATATACATATATATATCCGCCGACCCCTACCACCTACTCCACCCCATCCAAAGCTCGACCGGCCCCCAGTGCATGCCCGCCCGCTTCCATGGGCCCTCATGGCCCCATGGCCCCAAGGCACACTTCCAACCCCCACCCCCACCCCCCACGCACCCCGCCCCCCACTGGACCCATGGCTCCTGGCCCCATTGGCTCATGGTCCACGGCCCATGGATGTGGCTTCTCAGCTGACTTTAGGGCCCCAGTGCATGCCTACCCCCTCCGCCCGCTCCGCCCGCTCCGCCCGCTCCGCCCTCCGCCCGCCTACTCCCCCCTTGGCGCATGCTCCCACTCTCCATCCCCTCGACCTCCCCCGCTTGGCCGATGGACATGGCTCCTGGTCCCATTCTTCATCCCTCGACCTGCATGGCTGCCAATGCTGGTCCTATATATGGCCCCTGCTCCACCCCCACCCCCAACCCCCCCTCGCTCCCTCACTCCCCCACTTTTCCATTCTCTCACTTCCCCGCCCTTTCTTACTTTCACTCCCCATTTCACCCCACTCCCACGCTCCACCCCCACCTGCGCCCTCCCCATCCCTCAATTGTGTGTGGCTTCTCAGCTGACGGGGCCCCAGTGCATGCCCGCCCCCTCCGCCCGCTCCGCCCGCCCTCCGCCTACTCCCCTCTGGCCCATGCTCCCCCTCTCCATCCCCTTGACCTACCCCTCATGGACCCAGCTCCCTACCCCTTACCCCTCACGCACCCTGCCCCGCCGCCCATGCCCCTCATGGACCCATGGCCCCATTTCATGGTCCACGGCCCCTGCGTGTGGCTTCTCCGCCCCTACCCACCCACGCACCCCGCCCCCCGCCCATCCGCCCTTCCCGCTCCGCATAATCCCCCCCATGCCCAAGCCCCCCACGCACCCCGCCATGCTTGTCATGGGCCCGTGGCTCCTCCATTCTTCATCCCTCGACCTGCATGGCTGCCAATGCTGGTCCTGTTTCTGGCCCCTGCTCCACCCCCACCCCCAACCCCCACCCCCACCCCGCACTGCCCCGCCGCCCATGCTTGTCATGGACCCATGGCTCCTGGCCCCATGGCTCCCCCCACCCGGCCCGCTCCGCCCTCCGCCCTTCCAGCTCCGCCTACTCCCCCCTTGGCCCATGCTCCCACTCTCCATCCCCTCGACCTCCTCCCCCAGAACCCTAAACCCTAAACCCTGAACTCTAGGCCTTGCAAGGTCTCGACTGCCTCAACCCTCCATTATCCCCGAAAATCTGCAAACCCTCCTCCTCGGCATCCCAAACCCTGACTGGGCGGCCCGGCGCTTCCGCCATGGTCTCCGCCGCCACGGCGGTTTAGGGGTTCGGGTTTGTGGTTTCGAGTTTGGGGTGTACGTCGAGGCCTCAGGTTCAAGTCTCCTGGTTACGGGGGTTTAGGGTTTGGGGGTTTGGGGTTTCAGGGTTGCGGGTTTCGGGTTTGCGGTTTGCGGTTTGCGGTTTTAGATTTGGGGTTTAGCCCCAACTCCCTGCGCATCAGGGCTCCATGTTTCGCCCCCCTGAACTCTACAACCTGACCAAGCCCTGCGCATATATCTATATATCTATATATATATATATACATAATCCGCGGCCGGAGCCCACAGTGCCTTGGCCCCCCTTGGAGGGGGTCGGCGGTAGCCATTAAATAAACATGAAGAATCCGAGTCTGTGGGAGTTGCAAGCGAACACGGACTCAAGAATGTCGAAGTTTTCCAGCTGCCAGGGCCTCATTCTCGAGGATGAAAGGCAGCACGGCATCAGGGCAGTGCTGGCATAACCTTGAGAGGCACACAATTGCATTTACATCCAAACACAGAGAGGCACACTAACTAGATCTAACTAGGCACATCAATCAGGCAAATGTACGCACCATCTCAGGCCCAGCTCCTAGGGAATTCGGGAAGCTCATTGGCGCGTTGGGGACCTGACAAGTCGATGTAGTGCACCACATGCTCATTGAAGAAAGCCTCCGCAGTGATCAGTGTGCACTGGCTTGTCACAGCATCTTGCCGCGCTGCCACAGCATGTCATATCACATCAGAATCATATTACCATTGCATGTCTCAGAGCATACTCCGTGCCTCATGACATCAAGTTTGCCTCGACTTACGACCCATTCCCGGGACTCCAACCGCCTGTCTCATGATGCTATGTCTACACGATGCTAGAGTTTGGATTCTGTTCTTGCGTGTCTGCGCCTGCCGGTCCACAAGGCCGAGGCGACGGCCGAACAGGGCCTCTCAAGCCCCCACAATCTCCGACAGCTGCTCGCGCATGCTGTGGGACCTGATGGGTTTCAGAAACCCCGGCCTCGAAGTAGTTCATCTCCATCTGTGGAAATTGCTTCAAGCGCTCCAGCCTCAGCTTCCAGATTTCACATATTTCACAATGCGTCAAAGGGTGAAATGGCGTCAAGAGTGTTGAAGCAAAGGTATCAGGGCGCGGGGCACAAGCGAGTGGTCCGCCGTGGCAAACTGTTCACACAACATCAATGAGCAGCGTTCTGCATCCACCTCCACCAGTTCCTGGAAGCAGATCCAGCTCTACATTAGCCTCTACTGTACGTCTCTACTGTACGTCGGGGATGTGGGAGCCAACACTTCACGAGAAGGTGTCCTGTAGTCTCTCGAGGGTCGCCTCAACCATGGGAACGCCCACTTCCTCAGGGCTGCATTGGCTGCATGGGATGTGAATTTATGTGAATAGCTGCGAACTGCCTGAAAATTCCAGCTTTACAGCAGCTTTACATGCTTCACGAAGCCCTCGAGCCGATGGCGTCGAGTTTGGTGATGATGTGCTCGAAGATTTGTTCTCGGAGTTCCGGCTCCTCACGAATTTCCAGAAGCCCACCATGCAGCCACAATGTGGGCCCAATGTCGATCCATGTCCCAACTGCAATCAGAATCCAAAACGAAGAAACTTAAAGTCCTTCAACCTGCAGTCCAAGGCTTTTCCGAACTCGCCA